CTTTAATTTTCCCAAATAACCAATATTATTTATCACAAAGGAGCAATATTATATGCCTGTTATATTTTAGGCATAAGGAATTCACACTTTGGATGCCAATAAGATATTTAGCCTGTCTGAAGTTTCTCTGCAGCAGATCTTCACACCTGATGCATTATTTTGATTCCCTTAACACTGAAGTTTAAATTTTGTCATGATTTGATTTTTTTTTGTTATTATAGGGGAGCTCAACTATGAATAGTGAATCCTGAGAAAATAGCATCATCCAACATCACCTATAGGTAAAAAAAATGCTGCCCACATTGATGGTTTATGTTCTACAGCAGAACATAAAACCCATTCAGTACAGATTTATTCTCAGCTAGTTGTTATTCATCATAAGAAAACTAATAGCTTTAACCCAAAGGAAGTCAATAGAGCCCCAAACAGATTTCACAAATACTCAAACATCAGTCAAAATATTGAAAGCTCCTGCCAGAAATTCCTGGAAAACCCAGGCAGTGCAGGCGGCCACCAAAATGACGGCTGGTACCAGTAACTGCCAGTATTTAGTCAGAGTCAGACCTAAAATGTTCCAACAAGATAAAACCATTACCTGTTATGTTGCTAAAACATTCTAACTGCTTGAAAATAACATTTTATAATTTATAAATAGTGTGCTCTAATATTCATAATGAAAACTCAGTGACTGACACCCAATAGTCAACATTTCTATTTGAATCTATTCCAATTGTTTTAAAAACCATTAAAAACTCTGATGTTAACCATTTTTGGGTAAAACGTATCCTGGTTTAGCTTAAGGAAAAAAATGCCTATGACAATAATTTGTCCATATAAAGATCCAGAGTGGAGTTTTACACAGTCACATCTTATCCCTTTTTTTTTACCGGAAATTCTTCTGCTGTTTAACAGTGATGGGTTAAGACTGCCTGTTTTAAAATTCATAGTCTGAAGCTTACACCCACAGATGTTGAATCAGGTGGTATAGTCACTGACCAACATGGTAATGTTTGTTCCTGAAGGAGGCCCTGCGCTGACTACACCACCAGCCATGTTCCCACATGTCCGGCTGTGACGTGCACACCTGAGACGCTCCGAAAGTCCAAAGCATAAACGCAGTCGAGGCCATTTAGCTCGGCACATAAGCCCGTTCCCGGCGTACTCTCTGCGGCACACGGAGCCTGAACACCACCAATCAGATTAATCACCACTGACTCACAAAACAGCCATGATGAATGGTGAAAGCTGCAGACGATCCACCTCCTCCAGCTCGCAGGCCAAACAATCTATAGGAGAGCTGGAGTCACCCATCATAAAAGAAAGCACGGCCATTTAAAACCCCTGACAAGTCTGCTTTTTAGGAAATTAAAGAATGCAACTGAAAAATGGAACCCAGAACTAACTGCATTTTAAAGCACATCTCACTTTGATAGTCTGATAGTTATATCACCAATTTATAAGCTGCAGAGCGTATCGTCAGGAGGCTACACAAACTCTCTGACCTGCTCACTCTCCTGTCAGTGATTCCCTGCATTTCCAAGGATGCCTTCCAAGCAGCCTGCACAGAGTGGGTGAGAACTTGCTGATTTCACCCAAAGGTGGGCGTCTAGAGGCTTACAAACAGCTTGAAAGTATGATCATTCAGCTGTAGTGCTGCACAAATCGCATAATCGCGTGCAGCTACACCCCTCACTCAAACAGAACATGTCCTCTGGCGGCACCTGGGTCCAGCAGGGCTTTTCGCTCTGGCCTCATTCGGGACGCTGGTGTGACTCAGCGGCTCTCAGAAAGAGCATTTGATGGATGTTTTTATTATATCTCTTAAGGATCAATCAAGAAACAAAACAACTGATTTATCAGTTCACAAAGTGAGTTATTAATTTGTTTCATCTTACCAACTGGCAGCAAATTGTGATGTTATGAATGAGACGCCGGATTTATTTTTTTTTAATTGAAGGTTTCACTACATTAACATTTCTTAATAGGGCAGTAAAAATGTCAATAGTTGACCTTTACAACTAATGTTATATGCAGGGTGAGTCCTCTAGGAGACAAAGAGGACCTTTTTCATGGCCATTATTGTTTGCTTTCTTATGTCAAGTTTTATTCATTTGACTTTGTTTGAAGGAAAAGAAACATCTGTTGGTCAGAAAAAAAAGTCATCAAGAATATTTTCCTTACTGAGATATTCTTGGCTCAAGATCTGCCATCAATATCAGCATTTACTCAATGAATGTGTTGATAAAAGCCTTGAACAGTGGAGTTATTGCAACAGCCTGGGAACTTTTACTATAATGTGGTGGCATACCACATTTCAAGCCAGAGAGCAACACTCTTTAGAGTGGAACCTGTTAATGAGTGAAGAAGACTCAGATTTAATCATTTTCCTCATCAGTGAGGTGTTGAGAACTGAAGTCAGCAGAAGCACAGAGAAATAAGAAATGATATAAAAGTGAAATGTATTGTCTGCAACATATTGAGCATGTCTGTGTGAGAGAGCGAGACTTCCAGCAGAAAACAGGAAGGCTGAACAAAGTTTACCAAAGGTGCTCCGTCAGCTAAATGATTTTGTGAAAACCCTGGCAAACCTAAATATGGTACAAACTTAGTTTTTTCTATTCAGATTATCACAAACAATTTTTTTTTTTTTTTTTTTTTTTTTAAATAGAGATGTCAGACACAACATAAAGTATTTTACTCAAGAGCCAGCTTTGGTACACCTATCCATTAATCCCAGCTAAATTCAGAAAATAATTATGTAGAAAAAATCCAACCAAATGGCATGTCTTCGTTTATTAAGGCAGATGTACAACAGTTACCAGATTAGACAGCTTAAAATGTGACCACTAAAAGAATGAAGGATGGAAGAAATACTCTGAATGCTGTTCCTTTACCTACTAACAGTTCTTAAAGAGGAATCAGAATTAGTTCAAATTAGTGTTGACAGATCAGAATTTTACAAACATAATTCTTAGCTGATCATCTCTAATATTCAATGTCTATCTAAAAGAGGTTTCAGTCTGGCAATCTTAAAAGAAAAACTACTTCGAAATAAAATATTTCATGACCATATTTTTTTTTATCAAATATTTAATTACCAAGATAAATAAAATAATATTCAGGGCACAAAATGATTAGTTTGCATGTGCGAAATGAAACGGGGTCGGGATGGGTAAATGGGGCTGCAAATTAGTAAAGGTGCAAATCGACCCGCGGCCTGTTTATACTCGCTGCCAGCTGTGTTTAATTACTGATGCGATCAATACTTTCACATGTCATCCAAAATACTCATTTAGTTTTCTGTTTGGTTTTGCTACAATTAAAAAAAATGAAGTTTTGCCAAGGCAGCTGTCAGGACAAAATGAGCAATTTGTAACTATCAATTTGGCTTTTGGGACTTCTATTTTTATTTTTTCCGTAATGTTGTGATTGGAGACTGCACAATAATGTAGAAGTCAGCCTGCTTCCCGCATTACAATGAGGTCCTGGATTCAAATCAAACGGTGGAGTTTGGATGTTCTCTATCTTTCTCCCATCATCCAAAGCATGTTAGACCAACTGCTGACCATGAACTTTTGTTCATGGTTGTTTGTTTCATGTGTCTGTGTGTCGGCCCTTTAATAGACTTTTATGCCTGTTTTTGTGTATTCCTGAACAGGAACGCTAAACAGGATTCAGCAAATACTGGTGGATGATTTTATTAAAACTAACTTCATTATAAAAAAGAAATATGAAAGTGTGTTTTTAAAAAGGAGATCACAAACAGGTGAATTTCAACAAATTTTCCATTTGTTACTGTTCTGCAGTTTTCACACCAACTACTTTATGCAGCCTAAAGTGAACCCTTCAGAGCCTAAATTACAGAGGATGGGAAGCAGTTCCCTAATGCACCCTCACTTCAGGGACTGGATGAGACAGGTGTAGGTGTGCTGCTCTAATGATCCTAGTTAAAACACATCCGCAACCACACATGGCCCTGCAACAATATGCAGGGTGATATCATCCATAAACATGCACCTACACACACACACCTACACGGATGAATACCCAAACACACATTCGCACACCTACAAATTCACACAGGCACAGAATAAGTCAGGTAAGGCTAGCCAGCTCCTGTGAGGCCCATGAGAGAGTAAAGTAGGGGGCGGGAGGCGGTTAGTTTGCAGTGTTTCTGCATCAGGACGATGCATTAACATTCATGAGGCAATTATGCTCCCCTAAGAGCAAGTCATGAGTGTGTGTGTGTGTGCCAGTGTTTCTGCAAATATTCCATCAATCTTTATTTCCTTAAAACTCCACTACATTGCAGAAAACACACTTTTAGGGGAAGGAAAACGCAACCTCCTAATTTTAAGCAGCCAGATGAGTCAATGTATGGAAGCTGCTGCTGCATTCAGAGCATCACAGAAGACATGAAATGGGAGGGTTTTTGTTGCATTATGTTGAGGCGTTACAGTGTTGTATTGTATGCATGCATGGCAGCAGATGAGAGCGAACACCCCCGTGATAAACACGGTCTACCACACTGCAGCACAAACAACATCGATACAATGAAAGCAATGAAATGCTTCTTTCCCCCTACCCCCCTCCCCGCCGTTTTACGCAGAGAGGATGCTGATCCCAGAGATGCGGCACCAGTCACCATTTTCCCCCTTTAAAGAGGCGGAGTGGGAGACAATAGCTCGCAAGAACTGATCCACAATGCGGAGGGGATTTTTTATTTTTTTTTTTAATCGTCTTAGTTAATAAACAGAAGCTCAGCAGTGAAGCGCACAGACATTGCAGTGCCACACATGCGCCTTAACAGGTTTAAATGTGCCGTCACTTAAAACCTCTACGATTCATTTGCCCGTGAATAAACTATGTTATCCCTGCAGTGTTTTAATGACATTTGCCACCTGAAAAGCAGTCAACATTTAAGACTTTCCACTCCGACGTCTTCTCAAATTCAACATTCCCTTAAACTAACAAGACAAACAGGGAATTTGTTTTTTTACCTTTGTTATCTTCGCTCGGTTCCCTCTGTGATCCCAGCGTGGTGAAATAAAACGTGTCACCTTACATGTTTCATTGTAAATTCCCAGTTCTGGAGCAGGGGGAATTGGTTAGCCGCAGTGACGTTTCTCCTCCAGCATAAACAGAAATCAAGGAAAACAAAAACAAAGCAGAGTTAGAAGCGCATAACATCAGCGGGGAGGACGGACGTGTCTGCGCAGTAATCCTGTCTCGTTAGTTGAGTGCGGGCGCTGCGGTGAACGTCTGACCCGCACCGAGGCTCCGCGTACGTGGCTGCTGCCGCTTCTCCGCCTGCCTCACTGGAACGTGTTACTCTGTCTGAACGCTGCTGCGCTCCGTGGCCAACTCATTGATTGGTTAATGTGGCGTTTGCCTACGTTCGCATTCCCAAACTGCTGGGAATGGATGACCAATCCTAAAGCGGGCATTTCCGATGGTCAGATCTGATTGGCTGTCAGATTTGAAAGCGTAAGTTCCCGGCAAAGTCACGCTTGTGACAGGTCATGTAAATATTAATGTGCTGATCGGAAATGCTCAGCCGTATTCATTAACTTATGGACTAAGCAAAACATTCATGAGTCATTAATTGACTGTACTTCCATACTAAACAGCCAGTGTTGGATAAACAAGTTCTCAGTGGTTGAATTTCGGGAAATAATTGCAAATCCCGGTACAAACTGCATGGACAGCCTCTACTTACAGTTAATGACTGTCAGCCATCCACTTCGGGGATGTTGATGCATCTCCAGTGGTCACTGGGTGAGAAGCAGGGTACAAAGTGAACAGATGTTCAGTCGTCCATCACGGAAACACAAAGATACTCAGAACATGTACACACACACTCACACACCAACTTAGAGAGACCAATTAACCTAATTGTCATGTTTTTGAACTGTGGCAAGAAGCCAGAGTACCCAGAGAGAACCCAAGCATGAACAGGGAGAATGTGCAGAAAGACCCAAGAACTGCAAGGCAACTGTTCTTGTATGCATAGTTTTCATTAATAGGCCAGATGTCCAAACAGCTGCTGCACACAGATATTGGATTACTTTTGGTTTTATATGTGGAAGGAGGAGTGTATTCCAAGGTGGAGGAATCAAGTGGAACATTCCCTTAAGTTGGAACATCACGTAGAAGCTCCACATTCTTCACCTTTCCCATTCTCAATATAAAATATGGCCATTACATGTATAAAATATTAACAGTTTATTTGAAACTGTAGTATACTGGTCACATATTTGTGCATGAATACACTCCTTTTGTAGTAGTTTGCACAACAGTTAGCAAACGCCATGGTTTCTGTCTTGCTAGTGAAACTGGTAATTCTCAGGCAAATGGAACATAACATGATGTACTTGCTGTTAATGAAGCAATGCATCCATTCACTGACTGGAGTTTTACTTCCAGGAATGTACCCAATTTTATTTTATATTGCTCATGGCCAGCCTGTTTCATTTCCATCATCCACTCGACTCTCACTTACATTTGTATTTCAGATACAGTCAAGTTAAAATCCGGTTTTTTAAGAGAGGACGGCTTGTAAAAAGTTCTTCAAAGACTCTGTTATCATCCTGTAGTGTTGCCTTCCATTAACACTGAAGCTGCTTTTTATTCAGCAAAGTGGAGCTTTATTTCCAGGTATTCAGCAGACCTATCATAGTTTATTTTCGTATTGCTCACGGTCAGCCTGTTTCATTTGTATCAACAGTTTCCTTTGACTTTGCATAAACTGTGGCCTTGTAGTACAAAGAAAGAGAGTATTGAGGTTTTTGACATTATGTACCATTCCTTTTAATAATATTTCCAATGAAAATGTTCAGTGTGAGCAGTGACTTTTCCTCCAGTTAATATATTTGTGCGTTGTCTGACGTATTTAACTTGAGAAAATGTACTGACTTCTTTAATAGTAATTATTTTTGCTTTCAACTGGAACCACTAAACTTAATCTGTAATTTTTTAAAGTTTCTCACTTGAGGCACAAGAATTTATATACGAAACATCTTACTTGCCTTCTAAATTACAACACATTTAATCTTTGTCTTTCTTTTTGTTTTTGCTTTAAATCTAGAACCATCCATAAAGACTTTGCACTAAATGTCTGAAATTAGACCCACTGAAGGCAGTCTCTCAAAAATAACGCCGCCCATAGAGGTTTGGGGTTTCACTCACAGCTGCATTGATGACAGTCCCTGCTGAATACCAACATGAAAGCGGAGCAGGAAGTTCCTTGTGATTTGGATGCAGCTTTTGAAAGAGTGATGATTCATTCCAGGGGAGTAATTAAACATCCTCGTCAAACCTTTATTGCTCGGCTTGACTCAAAACAAGTCAGTAGGTGTACCTTCAATGCAACTGCGTACATCAATGACATCAAATCTAACATTTTAGAAGTCTGCAATTTTCCTTTTGCAAACTTTTAAAAATTTAGGAAGCTGTTTTAAAGAGGTACTTGGGTACTGAAGGAACGCCGGGTGGCTGGCTCCTTTGAAGCAAAATATAAAGAAATTAGACGGGACTTTTCCACAGTACAGCAGACTTTAATTTGTGTGGATATTTCAGAATGAATCAAAGCCCGGATAAACAAAGGAGTTATCTCCCACAGAGCAGTCTGCCTCTGTACTGCCTGCAGTGTCTCATTTGTAGTCCAAGCTTTTCCTCCTGGACTTGGCAGCATTGCCATGAAACACATTGTTCTGTTTGGGACTTTTTAGTTGCACACGCTCATATGAGCGTTTGTCTCACACCATCTTTGTCAAATCAGAGCAGACCAGACCATTCTGGCAGGAGGAACCAGGACTTAAAATACAGGCCTTTGATTTTTTTCTAACTGTATGAAAAGTGTTAGATTTGACTTTGCATCTTGAAAAACAAAATGAAAAGAAATCATCAGCCCTCATATCTAAATTAGTCACCAGCAGGTGGCTCATGGGTTCAAAAATAAGTCAGTTTCCTAAAAATTAAAATACTATTTGCTTTTGTGTGATTGTTCGCTTCTTTTTGTCCTTATTTTTTATATTTCGTATCAGGCTTGTGTTACGAACTGATAGTTTTAGCTGTTCCTAATGACACCACTTCTATAAAATGTGGGTTATGCTACTATCATCAGGAAAACAAAGCAAGGTATGCATTAAACCGATTCTGTGCTGTGATTGACAATTTCACAATCAATTGAAAGAATTAAATTTGAAGTGGACATTCTCAGATACCATGAGTAATAAAGGAGGAGCTGTATTTTGAAGGCGGGGCTATGGCCACCCAGGCGGTTTGCACAGCTGAATGGTTGCCATGGGAGATTAAAGGATTTTTCAACAATTAATGAAAGAGGTATGTTTTTGATGAGGGAATAAAATTATAACATGATGTAAAGCTCCAAAAAGTCAATTGTACCTAATACTGCTCCTTTAGAATAACATGCTAGGGTGAGACTGCATAATGTTTTTACTGATATACTTATATACATTTCAAAAGCATATACATATTATTATAATTCCTTGTTATAATTCTGGGCTCCCTGTTGTCTATAATAATATGTTGCAGTAATCAACTTTATAAGGTTAATACCAGATTAAAACGATGCAAACGTGTCTTTCTGAGTAAGCAGGAGCTCTTTAGGGAAGGGTCTCCCTCCCCCTTTTCCTCCCTGCTACGATCTGTTCAATGGCAGCTTGATGAATGGGAGGAAACAGGGAGGATGGAGAGTGCAGCAGTGCCAAGTGATAATGCGGTGTCATCAGTTACCTTGACAACTGCAGCCTCTGCGTCGAACATGTTAATTATGAATTTTTGGTTGAGGAAATTAGCAAAAGTCTTGTTCCCTGTTCTCTGCCCGGCCTTTCTAGCTCAGGACTTTATTTATTTATTTGCTCTCTGCTGACTTCAACAACAAGAGAGGAGATACAATATGCAAATCTCTACAGCACTCTGCCTCAAGCACTGGCTTATAGTCCTCGGCAAAGAGAAGTAATCCGGATGCAAACGCTGAAAACAGCATGAAAAAAGAACATCTTTTCCAAAGACAAAAACAAATAAATCTTTTTTTCATTTGCATATTTCTACTTAATTGGTTTGAGCCGATTTTGTATGAATGAAAGAAGCCGCAGATCTTTTTAAATCTTTGCAGCAGCAGGTAGGTCAGTTTTGCAACCAGCTCACAGGCGTGATGATGGAAAATTACTGATTGAATAAGTGACCCGCAGGTCAGCAGGCAGTGAACAAAGCAGCAGAGTGTTTTATGTTGGTGGCTGTTAACGTGTCAACCTTTTCAGCGTTCAGATGTCAGTGTTAAGTGGGTTTCTGGGCTTTCAAGGCTTGGAGTGAATGAGTTGCCCTTTGCAAACAAATTTCCCTCATTATATCATATAAACACATACATCAGGCCTGTGTCCTGCTTCACATGCAAATAGAAGAATCTATTTTGTAAGATCGAGTCGTGGCATTTATTAGAATGACATTTCCTTTAGATATAACACACATCATCACACATAACAATGATTTCATCTAATCTAATTGCATTTTGATGGTCTTACCGGCTGGCTGTGCTGTTCGTTTTAAATCTTTAAACTGCATTAAATTAGAACCACGGAGGATCTTTTTAAAATATGTTGTTATTTATTCATGTTTATGCAAATGAATAATTATTTAAAGGCAAACCATAACGTGTCCCTCAGAGCTTCTCCTCAGGTTGTGTGAGTGCAGCCAAGGAAGAAGTCGGAACGTAATGAATATTTTAGTAATGAACACTTGAGTACATTTGCTTTGTTAAAGTTTTAGACAGCTGTATTTCTGTCCATAATTTGATATTTATACGAGTCATCCATTTAAAGAAACTTCCTTCTTTTATACTTTTGAGTTTATAAGGCTGGCTACTTAAAATTAACATATTCTACCTCAAGTCACACATTACAATTTAAATATGTAATTTTTTACCATTCATATCTCGTAAATATTTAGAAATAAACTATTTAAGATGGATTTTATTATAAAGCTGAATGGTTATTACTGTTTTCAAAAATCAAATACCTACCTTGTCACAGGTGGCTATGTATTCATTGAAACTGTACAAAAGACAAAAAAGTATCCTGCTAATTAAATTAAATTCAAATGGACTTTGTTTACAAGTTGGCTCACTTCTGGAGGCAGCCGATTTTATTCAAGAGTAACAGTAAAATGGGCTCAATCCAAATGCATGCCACACTTTTTAGATTTTGTTGCCTTCCACTTACCAGTTACTGTTTTTTTGTGTAAATGGATAGCGACCTTACATGATCAGCTAATTGTGTGCAAGTAATTAATAAAAAAAAATATGTACCCACAAAATATGTGTAATTTTGTACAAACGTTAACATTTTTAAGCTG